GGTGCTGGGGATGTAAGGGGAAGGGGTGCCGGGGATGTAAGGGGAAGGGGTGCTGGGGATGTAAGGGGAAGGGGTGCCGGGGATGTAAGGGGAAGGGGTGCTGGGGATGTAAGGGGAAGGGGTGCCGGGGATGTAAGGGGAAGGGGTGCTGGGGATGTAAGGGGAAGGGGTGCCGGGGATGTAAGGGGAAGGGGTGCTGGGGATGTAAGGGGAAGGGGTGCCGGGGATGTAAGGGGAAGGGGTGCTGGGGATGTAAGGGGAAGGGGTGCCGGGGATGTAAGGGGAAGGGGTGCTGGGGATGTAAGGGGAAGGGGTGCCGGGGATGTAAGGGGAAGGGGTGCTGGGGATGTAAGGGGAAGGGGTGCCGGGGATGTAAGGGGAAGGGGTGCTGGGGATGTAAGGGGAAGGGGTGCCGGGGATGTAAGGGGAAGGGGTGCTGGGGATGTAAGGGGAAGGGGTGCCGGGGATGTAAGGGGAAGGGGTGCTGGGGATGTAAGGGGAAGGGGTGCCGGGGATGTAAGGGGAAGGGGTGCTGGGGATGTAAGGGGAAGGGGTGCCGGGGATGTAAGGGGAAGGGGTGCTGGGGATGTAAGGGGAAGGGGTGCCGGGGATGTAAGGGGAAGGGGTGCTGGGGATGTAAGGGGAAGGGGTGCCGGGGATGTAAGGGGAAGGGGTGCTGGGGATGTAAGGGGAAGGGGTGCCGGGGATGTAAGGGGAAGGGGTGCTGGGGATGTAAGGGGAAGGGGTGCCGGGGATGTAAGGGGAAGGGGTGCTGGGGATGTAAGGGGAAGGGGTGCCGGGGATGTAAGGGGAAGGGGTGCTGGGGATGTAAGGGGAAGGGGTGCCGGGGATGTAAGGGGAAGGGGTGCTGGGGATGTAAGGGGAAGGGGTGCCGGGGATGTAAGGGGAAGGGGTGCTGGGGATGTAAGGGGAAGGGGTGCCGGGGATGTAAGGGGAAGGGGTGCTGGGGATGTAAGGGGAAGGGGTGCCGGGGATGTAAGGGGAAGGGGTGCTGGGGATGTAAGGGGAAGGGGTGCCGGGGATGTAAGGGGAAGGGGTGCTGGGGATGTAAGGGGAAGGGGTGCCGGGGATGTAAGGGGAAGGGGTGCTGGGGATGTAAGGGGAAGGGGTGCCGGGGATGTAAGGGGAAGGGGTGCCAGGGATGTAAGGGGAAGGGATGCCGGGGATGTAAGGGGAAGAGGTGTTGGGGATGTAAGGTGAAGGGGTGCCGGGGATGTAAAGTGAAGGGGTGCCAGGGATGTACTGCAGTTCCAAATTTCGACTTTTAACCCTTTCTCTGCCTTTTTTTTTTTGCACACTTTTTGCATTTTTTGCACACTTTAAAATGCTCATTTTGGGTCTGAAAATTGATTATAGCCCCCCAAATTTTTCTCAAATGTTCTGCTTGAACCTGGTGTTCATATGATCCATAATGGGGGTAATGTATGTGCAGTATTTCTCTACCGATGACTGGGGATGAGACTCGGATTTGGGTCTAACATGGGTTCTCTGATATGGTTTTCTGGTTCCTTTCCAGATAAAGGTATGAGAGAGGAGATGTCACTTCTCAGGAATAATGGTGAGTGTATAGAATTCTGGATTGGTAATGAGCTACTTCTGTAAGGGTATTGGAAGGATATCCGGGATACATCATTCTGTGGAGGGGGAGGGTAGTGGAAGGATATCTGGGATACATCATTCTGTGGGGGAGGAGGGAAGGGGAAGTAGACACAAATCAACATTTGCATAATTTGATCAGATGTAACCCCATAATGCTTTGTTAGCAGACAAGACTCTGAAATTGATTTAGATACAACTTTCCAAAAACGTCATTGCAAAATGAAACAGTATAATATACTATAATATAATTCGGCAGCATGACCGGCACAGGCTAGACTACAAAACATCAGACGGAGTCTCACAAGTAACACCGGGTAACTGAACTCATAGGAACCACAAAGAAAGGTTGTAGTGAATCAGCCAAACAAACCAGGTACAACCCCCCAGAGGAGCCGAGGCCAAATCCTGGCAAACATTCAGATGGAAAATTCATGGACAAATAACAAGCAGGACGGATACTTATACTCGGCATCGAGGAGGAGTACCATGTTCCTAGTTCTAGACTTCATCCCACAATGTGGCAGTTCAGGTTGGAGAATCCTGAGTGGAGGTCAAGCTGTCTCCTTTCTTTCCTCAATGTAGTAACCAACAACGTGGGAGGTGAAGCCCAGAGACTGGAGGACTTAGAGGCCGGTCAGGAATCACCACTTGAGGGAGTTTTAGTTGTCTCAGGAACATTGAAGTCCTTCAACACGGCAGGTTTACCATTATAATGAACAATGAGTTGTAGAGGGAATCCCCAATGGTGCTGAATGTCCATAGAGTGGAGGACCTCCAATAGCAGAGTCAAAGTGCCTGGAGAGATCAGGAAGTAACAAAACTTTGGAATTGCTAGATTCAATTTTGTCTTGTTTGCACAATATCTTTGATTGTAAAGAAGTGAACACGACAGATCACATCGGTTGGATAAGCAGAGAGGCTGAGTGGTTTTGAAAGCGCTGCGTCTCAGCTGGAGTGCGGCCGTGGGCAAAGAGCAACCGCACGTTGTCTGCTCTTCTGTTCTCCCATCCTCGATGCTGAAGTGATGCGCCCTGAGGGTGATGAAGAAGACCTATTGAAGCTGGAGCTAGTGAGAGCAACCTCCTATGCTCAAACATACAGGAGAGCGGGTTCAGGTGTTCAGGATACATGAAAAAGTGCAAAATAGGAGGACAGATATTCTGAAGTAGAGTGACCTCTAATAAGATGCCGACCAACAGAGAACAGCCAGATAAATCTGTGACCATATGAGGACAGTCAGTGTATTTTCCTGATCACTAATCTGGCTTCTGTCCTTTTGCAAGCAGACAAAAATACCTGAGTCTGTGGGCAAGGAGTCCTCCTCACAGTGTCCAGACGGCAGCCTCTACCCACCTCCTCTGTGACACTCTTCAGCAAGATCCTCTTCTATAGATCTTCTCTTCAGTTCCCTTCAGATATCCACTTCAGCTCTGACATGGTGACGTGGGCCCTCAGCACACGGCTCATGCCAAAGTCAGGCCCACAGGGCGGCCTTCACACCATGCATTCTCCAAGGGGGGAAGAGAGCTCTGGAAAGCTGCTCCCAAACATTTATTATCTCCAAACCTTCCCACACTTCTCCAACAGCAGACAGGAGCGATCATTCTACCAGGATTAGGGAAGACCTGCAGAGCCCTGAAACATGGATAACAGCTCAGGCTGGCTACATCCGAGCAACCAACATACTAAATTTCAACTAAGGACACAACTACATAGGACGGGGGCCCTACAATGTCAATGTAAATGTTGTTATTAATCTTTTTAAACCTGCAGCTTTTATTTAAAAAAATATCCCTGGTAGGCCCAAGCTCCCAAACTGGGGGGGAAGGGGTACACTGGGCAAAGCGGACCTTTTTACCTCTTGAAATGTTGGAGGACATGTTCTGTATGTATAGTGGAGGTCACCCACCATTCTTATTATTACAGGTTCTCTTTCCGATGACATTCAGAACATTCTGGGAACTGTGAAGAAACTGGAGGAATACATCCAGAAAGCAAACAGTAAGATGATCTCATTCCACTGACTGGAACACTTACCCATCAAACCACCATTTACCACAATGGTCACATGACTAAATGCCTGGGAGCAGAGATCAGTCCAGTTGATTCTTCTCTTTAGCAGAAACAATGTAACCCCCAAAGGGGTGGGCGGGGTAGTGGGCGTGTCTTGGATATCTATGTGTAGAGTACAATATAACAATAAACCTGATGACACTATCTGATATTGGTTTCCGTCTCTCACAGATTCTGACCTGATGAGTAAAGTCACCGAGATCGAGTCCTCAGTGAAGAATATTTCCATTGATAAGGCCACGGGTAATTGTATACTGCTCAATGTATATTAGCGGGGCCATGATAACCATTTTCTAACCTTCTAACCACCTTCTGGACCTCCAGTCCATATCTATGGACCCACAAACAGTGGTTTCTGAAACATGATTGGCAGTTCCATTTGCTGCTTCTGCCTGCCACTGTACTGTACATTGGGCAGATGGGATCCAGGGTGCGAGTCCTGTCCCCGAGGTACAGCTGGAAGAAGACCCAGAAGATAGATTCACATTCTCGGCAAACAACCCGGCATGAAAAGAGGGCAAAAAAATGAAATAAAAAGGGGACCAGCAAAGTGACATAGAGAGGAACTATAGAGGTGCCCAATATTCCGGGGAAAAGCTCTTATATCAGAACTTTGGTGGCCTCTGATAATCAAACAACCATCTGTTGTAGAACAGAGAATGTAGAATGCCCCGTGAAGCAGGTGAGGAGACTGACAGCAAATAAAGAAATATAGAATAGATCATTGCCATTACTTCCTTCTCTCCGGTCTAATGTGTTATTATACGCAGGAGGACAGCTCAGGTCACAAGGGTACAGAGCCAATGAGGGCTTAGTACATAAGTACCAGAAACAGCGTCATCCAGTACCGGTGCCCAGTCACCCCTCTACAGCTTATGTCAGCTTCATCCTCTTCATCCTCTCTCCGATCTGACCTGTATATTAACCCCTCACCTCCCTTATCCTGCACATCTGTACCTTAACCCTTTCACCTCCTCCCTCTGTGTATGACCTGCTCTTTTACCGGCTAATTTGTACAACTTTCACCCAGCCAACACTGGACGAGTGCCATTCACATGGTACTCCCATCACTAGGGCCACGCTCCTCAGCTCTATCCAATGATGAACATGCAATGAGAGCAGCTTTCATCCACCGTATGGCTGGGAGGAAGTTATATAAAACAACCCCATGTATCTAGTGACCATTACCAAGCTCCATGTTGTAACCCCCTCAATACCGGCATGGGGTTCAGTGCTGTGTGACCAAGTCACGGTCAGTCAAATGATCACAGCAATGAATAACGGCCCGGGCAGGAAGGGAGTGTAACATGTTGGTCCTCAGGTGGTTAACATATATTTTGTGTATTTCAGCTTCTCTTTCCAGTGACATTCAGAGGATTCTGGGAGTTTTGGGGAGCCTGGCAGAAGAGGTGCAGAAACTGAACAGTAAGTTTATCCTATTCCAGCCAATGGCACCTGATCTGTCATTCCTGAACCCCGAGTACTGGGTGTTCATTCCACTATGAGGTGCGGTGTTTGCACCAAAGTTTATTTAGGTAGATTCCAGTAGAATTCTACTTCTACAGAAGTGAGTACACCCCTGACATACCTCTGTGCACCCCTCAAATTTGTGTAAATATTGGATGATATCGTGTCATGTGACGACACAGAAGAAATGACACTTGGCTACAATGTAACGTAGTGAGTGTACAGCTTGTATATCAGAGTACATTTTCTGTCCCCTCAAAATAACTCAACACACAGCCATTAATGTCTAAACCGCTGGCATCAGATGGTGTCACCCGTGTGTGGTAGCAACCAGGTGAGGAGTACAAAGACAAGTGTGTCTTGCCTACAGTCAGGCATGGTGGTGCTAGTGTCATGGTCTGGGGCTGCATGAGTGATGCCGGCACTGGGGAGCTACAGTTCATAGAGGGAACCATGAATGGCAACATGTGACATACTGAAGCAGAGCATGATCCCCTCCCCCCGGATACTGGGCCACAGGGCAGTATTCCAACATGATAAGGACTCCAAACACACCTCCAAGACCACCACTGCGTTGCTAAAGCATGTCTCCAGACCTAATCCTATTGACTATCTGTGGGGCATCCTCAAACGGAAGGTGGAGGAGCGCAAGGTCTCTAACATCCACCAGCTGCGTGATGTCGTCATGGGGGAGGGGAAGAGGACTCCAGTGGCAACCTGTGAAGCTCTGGTGAACTTCATGCTCAAGAGGGTTAAGGCCGTGCTGGAAAATAATGGCGGCCACACAAAATATTGACACTTTGGGTACAATTTGGACATTGTCACTTAGGGGTGTACTCACTTTTGTTGCCAGCGGTTTAGACATTAATGGCTGTGTGTTGGGGACAGCAAATGTACACTGATATACAAGCTGTACACTCACTGCTTTACATTGTAGCAACGTGTCATTTCTTCTGTGTCATCACATGACCTGATATCATCCAATATTTACAAAGATGTGAGGGGTGTACTCACTTCTGGGAGATACTGTATGTATATTATAGTATACAGTATAGTTAGAGAGTGAGGAGAGATAACCAGAAGAGAGAGAGAATGAAGAGAGAAAGGAGAGTCAGCCAGGAGAGAGAGCGAGAAGAGACAGCCTTTAGAGAGAATGAGGAGAGAAAGCCAGGAGAGAGAGAAAGGAGAGGGAGAGGAGGGACAGCCAGGAGAGAGGGAGAGGGTGCCGGGGATGTAAGGGGAAGGGCTGCCGGCGATGTAATGGGAAAAGGTGCCGGGGATGTAAGGGGAAGGGGTGCCGGGGATGTAAGGGGAAGGGGTGCTGGGGATGTAAAGGGAAAGAGGTGCTGGGGATGTAAGGGAAAGGGGTGCCGGGGATGTAAGGGGAAGGGGTGTGGTGGCGGGAATGTAAGGGGAAGAGGTGCCAGGGATGTAAGGGGAAGGGGTGCCGGGGATGAAAGGGGAAGAGGTGCCGGGATGTAAGGGGAAGAGGTGCCGGGGATGCAGTGCAGTTCCAGAAAGAATTTTCTGCAAAATTTCTACATTTAACCCTTTCTCTGCGAGAGCCATTTTTGCATTTTTTTGCACACATGTTAAAATGCTCGTTTTGGGTCTGAAAATTTATTATATCCCCCCAAATTTTTCTGAAATGCTCTACCTGCACCTGGTGTTCATATGACCCAAGTCTAAAGCCTCTCTGTCCTCATCCTGATGTTCATCTCTTCCCATTATGATCTACAGATGGAGAGAACTAAACATGGAAACACGATTTCACGCATACACATTCTGGTGTTCTTTTTTTTTGGCAGTGAGCTGGCAATCATTGGGTAACCCACTATGATATAATAACAATGTAACTTAACCAGTGATTTCCCGGGACTGCCCACCTTTCTATTCACAGATGTCTATGAGTCTGACCTTCAGCAGAGTTACTGAGTCTGTATGTGTACACAATGTATGGAATGTATGTGCAGTATTTCTCTACCGATGACTGGGGATGAGACTCGGATTTGGGTCTAACATGGGTTCTCTGATATGGTTTTCTGGTTCCTTTCCAGATAAAGGTATGAGAGAGGAGATGTCACTTCTCAGGAATAATGGTGAGTGTATAGAATTCTGGATTGGTAATGAGCTACTTCTGTAAGGGTATTGGAAGGATATCCGGGATACATCATTCTGTGGAGGAGGAGGAGGGTAGGGGAAGTAGACACAACTCAATATTTGTAACATTTGATCAGATGTAACCTCATAATGCTTTGTTAACAGACAAGACACTGAAATTGATTTAGATACAACTTTCCAAAAACGTAATTGCAAAATGAAACAGTAGAATATACTATAATATAATTTGGCAGCATGACTGGCACAGGCTAGACTACAGAACATCAGACAGAGTCTCACAAGTAACAGCGGGTAAATGAACTCATAGGAACCACAAAGAAAGGTTGTAGTGAATCAGCCAAACAAACCAGGTACAACCCCCCAGAGGAGCCGAGGCCAAATCCTGGCAAACATTCAGATGGAAAATTCATGGACAAATAACAAGCAGGACGGATACTTATACTCGGCATCGAGGAGGAGGACAATGTTCCTAGTTCAGGTTAGAGAATCCTGAGTGGAGGTCAAGCTGTCTCCTTTCTTTCCTCAATGTAGTAACCAAGCAAAGCGGGAGGTGAAACCCCGAGACTGTAGGACTTAAGAGGCGGCCAGGAACCAACACTTGAGGGAGTTTTAGTTGTCTCAGGAACATTGAAGTCCTTCAACACGGCAGGTTTACCATTACAATGAACAATGAGTTGGAGAGGGAATCCCCAATGGTGCTGAATGTCCTTAGAGTGGAGGACCTCCAATAGCAGAGTCAAAGTGCCTGGAAAGGTCAGGAAGTAACAAAACTTTGGAATTGTTAAATTCAATTTTGTCTTGTTTACACAATATCTTTGATTTGAAAGAAGTGAACATGACAGATCACATCGGTTGGATAAGCAGAGAGGCTGAGTGATGTGGAAAGCGCTGCGTCTCAGCTGGAGTGCGGCCGTGGGCAAAGAAGTAGTCAATTTCCCACAACATGTTACTGCACGTTGTCTGCTCTTCTGTTCACCCATCCTCGATGCTGAAGTGATGCGCCCTGAGGGTGATGAAGAAGACCTATTGAAGCTGGAGCTAGTGAGAGCAACCTCCTATGCTCAAACATACAGGAGAGCGGGTTCAGGTGTTCAGGATACATGAAAAAGTGCAAAATAGGAGGACAGATATTCTGAAGTAGAGTGACCTCTAATAAGATGCCGACCAACAGAGAACAGCCAGATAAATCTGTGACCATATGAGGACAGTCAGTGTATTTTCCTGATCACTAATCTGGCTTCTGTCCTTTTGCAAGCAGACAAAAATACCTGAGTCTGTGGGCAAGGAGTCCTCCTCACAGTGTCCAGACGGCAGCCTCTACCCACCTCCTCTGTGACACTCTTCAGCAAGATCCTCTTCTATAGATCTTCTCTTCAGTTCCCTTCAGATATCCACTTCAGCTCTGACATGGTGACGTGGGCCCTCAGCACACGGCTCATGCCAAAGTCAGGCCCACAGGGCGGCCTTCACACCATGCATTCTCCAAGGGGGAAGAGAGCTTTGGAAAGCTGCTCCCAAACATTTATTGCCTCCAAGCCTTCCCACACGTCTCCAACAGCAGACAGGAGCGATCATTCTACCAGGCTTAGGGAAGACCTGCAGAGCCCTGAAACATTGATAACAGCTCAGGCTGACTACATCCGAGCAACCAACATACTAAATTTCAACTAAGGACACAACTACATGGGACGGGGGCCCTACAATGTCAATGTAAATGGTGTTATCAAATTTTTTAGACCTGCAGCTTTTATTTAAAAAAATATCCCTGGTAGGCCCAAGCTCCCAAACTGGGGGGGAAGGGGTACACTGGGCAAAGCGGACCTTTTTACCTCTTGAAATGTTGGAGGACATGTTCTGTATGTATAGTGGAGGTCACCCACCATTCTTATTATTACAGGTTCTCTTTCCGATGACATTCAGAACATTCTGGGAACTGTGAAGAAACTGGAGGAATACATCCAGAAAGCAAACAGTAAGATGATCTCATTCCACTGACTGGAACACTTACCCATCAAACCACCATTTACCACAATGGTCACATGACTAAATGCCTGGGAGCAGAGATCAGTCCAGTTGATTCTTCTCTTTAGCAGAAACAATGTAACCCCCAAAGGGGTGGGCGGGGTAGTGGGCGTGTCTTGGATATCTATGTGTAGAGTACAATATAACAATAAACCTGATGACACTATCTGATATTGGTTTCCGTCTCTCACAGATTCTGACCTGATGAGTAAAGTCACCGAGATCGAGTCCTCAGTGAAGAATATTTCCATTGATAAGGCCACGGGTAATTGTATACTGCTCAATGTATATTAGAGGGGCCTTGATAACTATTATGTAAACCTTCTAACTACCTTCTGGACCTCCAGTCCATGTCTATGGGCCCACAAACAGTGGTTTCTAAAACATGATTGACAGTTCTGGTTGGTGTTTGAATATATTGGGAATGCCATGGATAGCGGGATATTACATCACATAGCTTCCTAGGCTGGATTCATCTGTTTCCAGTTCCATTTGCTGCTTCTGCCTGCCACTGTACTGTACATTGGGCAGATGGGATCCAGGGTGTGAGTCTGGTTAACATATATTTCCTTATATATAAAGGAAAGGTTTATCCTTTTCCAGCCAATGGCACCTGAACTGTCATTCCTGAACCCCGAGTGCTGGGTGTTCTTTCCACTATGAGGTGCGGTGTCTGCACTACAGGCTATAGAGGTCGGTCCCGGTATAATTCTACTTCTACATAATTCCAAAGAAAGATGATATGTAGAGCAGGGATCCCAACCTGAAAGAAGCAATTTCAGGGAGGTGTCCCTCTCTTTTCAGGGAGGTGCCCTCTCCCCCCATCCACAGAGGGGGAGTTAGGGGGGGCTGGGAGAGAGCACCCCCCTGAAACGATGGCAGGTAGCACAGGAAGCAATAGCTTCTTTGCTATCTGCAGGGTTTTTTTTTCTGATTTTTTTTTTTAGTATTCTGACAGTCGCAGTCGTCAGAATAATAATAATTTTTAAAAAAGGCATACGAATCCATAGCTAGATGCCTATTGGCTATTGCACTTTGCAATAGCCAATAGCAAACTAGCTATTGCACCCGCCCTCTGCTTTCAATCACCAGAAGAGGACCTGATAGAAAAATTCAGGTCCCCCTCTGCTGATTGACAGCAGCAGTGGGCGGGTGCATTACCTAGTTTGCTATTGGCTATTGCAAAGTGCAATAGCCAATAGGAATCTAGCTATGGATTCGTATGCCTTTCTTTTTTCTTTTCTGACTGACGACGGGCCGCGGAAAAAAAACGATCGCAGGGAAAGGTTGATCCTTTCCGGGAGGAAGTGTTTCTCTCCCGGGCGGCAGGGGGCCGCTATCTAATTGCGGGAGACTCCCGGAGCGTCCGGGAGAGTTGGGATGTCTGTGTACAGTATCTCCCATTAGTGTGTACACTCGTGACATACCTCTGGGTACACCCCTCACATTTGTGTAAATATTGGATGATATCGTGTCATGTGACGACACAGAAGAAATGACTGTTGGCTACAATGTAAAGTAGTGAGTGTACAGCTCGTATATCAGTGTACATTTTCTGTCCCCAACACACAGCCATTAATGTCTAAACCGCTGGCAACAAAAGTGAGTACACCCCTAAGTGACAATGTCCAAATTGGGCCCAATTAGCCATTTTCCCTTCCCGATGTCATGTGACTCGTTAGTGTTACAAGGTCTCAGGTGTGTTACATTTGGTGTTCTCGCTCTCACTCTCTCATACTGGTCACTGGAAGTACAACACGGCGCCTCATGGCAAAGAACTCTCTGAGGATCTGAAACATAAAGATGGCCGAGGCTATAAGAAGATTGCCGAGACCCTGACACTGAGCTGCAGCACGGAGGCCAAGACCATACAGCGGTGTAACAGGACAGGTTCCCCTCAGAACAGGCCTCGCCATGGTGCACGCGCTCAGTGTCATATCCAGAGGTTGTCTTTGGGAAATAGAGGTATGAGTGCTGCCAGCATTGCTGCAGAGGTTGTAGCGGGGGGGAGGGGGGGGTCAGCCTGTCAGTGCTCAGACCATACGCCGCACACTGCATCACATTGGTCTGCATGGCTGTCATCGCAGAAGGAAGCCTCCTCTAAAGATGATGCACAAGAAAGCCCGCAAACAGTTTGCTGAAGACACGCAGACTAAGGACACGGATTACTGGAACCGCGTCCTCTGGTCTGATGATACCAAGATAAACGCATTTGGTTCAGATGGTGTCACGCGTGTGTGGCGGCAACCAGGTGAGGAGCACAAAGACAAGTGTGTCTTGCCTACAGTCACGCATGGTGGTGGGAGTGTCATGGTCTGGGGCTGCATGAGTGCTGCCGGCACTGGGGAGTTTTTGGTTGCTGGGCCTCCAGTGCGTCCCTGCACCTTATTAGGAGGAGTTGGCTACCTCCAGGTACACCTGCATGTAATTTATCAACTTCATTAATATGCTCACACTTGGAGACTCGGATACATAGAGTTAGGACCACACTTTGCAGAGGTGCCTTGGCGCGGCAGTGTGGCTTCTACATATTTTTGGCCAAAAGTTTGTGCAACTAAAACCTCTGATTTTAACGCATACTGTTGACAGGGCTACTTGTTTGGATGCAGGCTGGCTGGCAGGTTGAGGCTGGGGAATTTTTGTGTTTTGTATTGGAGCTACAGAGGGAACCATGAATGCCAACATGTACTGTGACATACTGAAGCAGAGCATGATCCCCTGCCCCCGGAGACTTGGCCGCAGGGCAGTATTCCAACATGATAACCCCCCCAAACACACCTCCAAGACCACCACTGTCTTGCTAAAGAAGCTGAGGGTAAAGGTGATGGACTGGCCAAGCATGTCTCCAGACCTAAACCCTATGGAGCATCTGTGGGGCATCCTCAAACGGGAAGGTGGAGGAGCGCAAGGTCTCTAACATCCACCAGCTCCGTGATGTCGTCATGAGGGAGTGGAAGAGGACTCCAGTGGCAACCTGTGAAGCTCTGGTGAACTCCATGCCCAAGAGGGTTAAGGCCGTGCTGGAAAAAAATGGCGGCCACACAAAATACAGTATTGACACTTTGGGCCCAATTGGGACATTGTCACCTAGGGGGTGTACTCACTTTTGTTGCCAGCGGTTTAGACATTAATGGCTGTGTGTTGGGGACAGCAAATGTACACTGATATACAAGCTGTACACTCACTACTTTACATTGTAGCAACGTGTCATTTCTTCTGTGTCGTCAGGAGAGAGAGTGACGCTCCAAGCTGATACACAAATCAGATACATTGTTATTCAGAGTTCGGGGACTGGGAGGGAGTTTTAGTTTAGTGTCACTTTCATGGAAGCTTTGCACTTGCTAGAAACATTGAGTAGTCAATCTCCTAGCCCAGCCCCCTCCTCCCTCACACATCATAATCCTCTCCTCTTCTGGGAGTGTCTACATACTGTCTTTGCTGGCCCAGCTCCTTCACCCCACCCCTCACCTCCTTTTATGTCATTGCTGAAGGTGAATACTCTTGAATGTCACCTAAGTGACAACTTGGAGTGTGCTGGGGCTGCCGATGTCATATCCAAGATGGCGGCACCCAGCAGCAGTGTTGCTATAACCAAAACATATTAGCGTGACCCTCATAATCCTCTTTCTTGCTCCCTCAGGCTCTGCTGATCCAATATGCAGTACGGGATGGACTCAGTATGGACTCAGCTGTTACTACTTGTCTTCAGACTCAAAACCATGGAATGCCTCCAAGAAAGAGTGTGAGGACAGGAAGGCCCACCTGGTGGTCATCAATGGCGAGGGGGAGATGGTGAGGATGGTGATCAGATGGTCACTTCACACTGTGACAGTTACACTATTAGATGCCACTGCTGGCACCAGAATGTGAGGATTCGGCTCTCAGCTTCACCCTGCACAGAGATTTCTCATCACCGGGGCAGAGTCACTGAACATCTAACCCTCATACACACACATGGTAGCCAGAGTATGTGTTATCAGAAACATCCGCCATTCAAAGCAGCATCTGATGTTGCAATTCTGACCTTTAAAAAAGGGCTGCAGCACATGCTGCCACGCCTAGACAGGAATGTAACAGAGTTTGCACTAAGGTAGCTTCTTAACAGAAGCAAAAGTTCTTCATGTCTAATAAGTGCACTCAGAGTTTTAGCCTAATTTTTTTTTTTAATATTGCTTTAGTGAATAGAATAAAGAACAGACATAAGCAACAGTATAAATAAAAGGGGTTTAGCAAAGTTCGCCTGGTCTTTGGTTCTGTCCAATCTGCTATATTAGAGCCACTGGCCCTCATAAATGACTCTTTGTATTCCTTCGTAGTTTTGATGGTGAAATGAGGAACCAGAGATGCCGGGAAAGCCATTCTTTACTGTCCCCTCACCTTGCTTTGCCTGACCTGTACACTCTGGCCAGGAGAACATTTCTGGCCAATTATGGGTCTTCAAATATGTGCCCGCCTCCTCTCTATAAAAGTCAGCTCCGCCAGCGTCCTTCTGTCATTGTGTTTTGGCGCTAGTGAGGAACAGCTGACAGCTTTGTGGGGTAAAGACAGTTTGTGCTCCTTGTACAGTGCTTATACAGTGCTATATGAATTGCTTCATAAGTCCACTGCTGCATTAAGGTGCCCATACACTGTACGATTCTCGGCAGGTTGGTGGCCTGCTTGTTCGACAACTGACGGACGGGCCGGCGTGCGCACGTGCACACTGCCCGTTTGCAGTCATCGGAAGCCCGCCCCTCATTGCAGTCATCGGAAACCCGCCCCTCAGGGGGCGGGCTTGCGATGATCGCAAGTACGATCTGCCTGTCCAAGATGGGCAGATCATACAAGCTTTTAATTAGCTTACAACCATCGGCGGACAAAAGTCTTGCGATGGTTGTAAGGTGTATGGCCACCTTTACAGTCTAGTGAATTGCAGTGTGGTGGGCTGCAGAGAGTGGAGTGTACCTCCCCCCGTAGTCTCTGTACTGTCATTGTTGTGCATTACATTGTGTGCCACCCATTGCATCCATAGACCCAACGGTCCTTTTTTTTGTTGTTTCTGTCAGCAACAAGTTCTGTTGCTCATTAGAAGCTGCTGCTGGCCCTTTGTTGGGGTATTTTGTTTTCTTGGTTTTACACTTTTTTTGTAATGATGTTTTCCATAAGATTTTTCATGAGATTTTGGAGGTGTCATAGGGCTGAGGAAAGGCCCCTTCCCTCTGTTTATTATACTCATTATATTAGGGTTGCACAGATACTTTTCGAGTACCAGTGCCGATACTCGGCATTTTCATGAGAACTACCGGGGTTGCAGCGGTTGCAGCTGGGACCGGGCTCTGGCGCTCCACCACTGTCCTGAAATCATTTGTCTGTATTGTTTTAGAAAAACTGTCACATGACAATAAACAAAAATGTATCAGTACTCGTACTTGTAAGTACTCGGCAAGTACCAGTACTCGTACTCGAAAAACTGGTATCTGTGCATCGCTTTATTTATATTTATAAAAACAACATCGTACATTAAAACAGAGATGTACAAATCCCGGGAGCTCCGTGTGCTCCCTACACATGACAGCCGCCTCCTAACTTCTGAGCTTTTCTCTAGTCTAGTCTTGGAGCTCAAAAGTATCGGTACATGTACTCGTACTTGTACCGAGTACTGTACTTGGTATCTGTGCAACCCTACATTATATAACAAGCAGATTTTTATGAGTCGGCAGAATTTGCTTTGGGGAATATATTTTTCCAGTCTGATGGTGACAGCTTTATTGTGGAGATGGAAGTTGTTGCTAGCTGGCGTAAAACGGTTCCTAGTGAGTGTGTTTCCCATCGCGTCACGGTAAAGCTGAAGATGTAGAAATATTAAGGTCCGGGGATCCATCACACATGTGAACGAAAGTCCAAAGTTGTTGTTGCAGTGCTGTACGAATGTTTTCTCATAATTGTAAGTAATTGTGTCCTCATGTAAATCTCGTACTGTTGAGTATGAATTGTACTTGTTTAGGGTCCGGGAGTTGTGTCAAATGGTAATTAGGAGCAGTGAGACCAATATGATGTGGAATCCATGTAAATAGAGAACAAACATCCAGTGATCACCATGTGATGGAGGATTCCCATTTGTGGTTTTTGCATTTTCCCCCACAGCTGATTGGAATCTTGGATGTAGGAGAGTAGATTGATCACTATCAGTTGTGGGAAGATGTCTGTGTATTGTGAGAGTGTGTGGGGTGAGGCTATTCATGATAGCAATTATCGGCCTGCATTTACAAGTGTTGGGCAGGTGGCAGAAATATAGCATATCATACCAGGAAAGCCCATTCCTTTTTGTTTATAACCCCTTCTGAGAGCACCTGATCATCTAATAGTTTAGATTCTGTTTTGTATTCGGGTCTTTATAGAGTAATAAATAGGCGGTTTTGTCTGATAGTAATTGCGGGGACTCCATTATGCAATCCATTCTATCTGGGGTTTTTGGCTTCCAATAAAAAAAACGATACCATTTCGGTAGTCTCTGATGTCCCATGTCTAGTTTGCATCCACAAAAGAAAAAGAACAAGTTAAATATGGACCTCAAAGGCTACCAACAAGGTCTAGTTTTCAACTGGGAGACAATACTCACAATTCCCCAGGTTTTCAGGGAGATAGTAGCACTCATGAGTAATAATCCCTCCCAAAGACCCCGGTGATTTCGGGCCACCTAGTGACACTTGGAGTCATATCCTGCAATGACTCAGCCTGCATTGTCGGCTGACATGAAAGACACGCTTATGTCCCTCAGATCATCCCTACAATGGGTCAGGTCTTCTATGCCTAGAGTTCTAGCCAGGCCACTGGCATGTAGGGGGTCAGCAATGAGAACCTACATATTTCTATTAATAATATCGTCTTTGATCTGATGTTGGATTGCCACGGACTGTGAAAAGATTTCCTCTCTCCTCCTTATTTTATTCTTGATCTTTCTGTCTGTTTTCTCCTGCTGATCCCCGGGGATGTCACCAACCTGGAGATGGGTCATAACATGTCTGTGTCTTGGTGGGGGGTAAATTTACATTTGTGTTGGGGAGTGAAGTGTTGTTACCAGTGCGGGTTTCCTACTGATGCCCCAGTTTCTTATCCAATCCATAAATATACTGAGAGCTCCATAGTGCGGCGTGTGTACAGAAAGTTGTACATTGAAAATCCGCCATATTCATCTCCTAATCAGTTCTATATTTTGTCTTTCTGAAGAATTTTCTGCGCGGGTTTACAAAAGTCGATTACTTGTGGATCGGCCTAACGGATGCGGATGGAACCTGGAGATGGGTGGACGGAACATCTTATGACAAGACTCCAAAGTAAGACACTGAGACCTCGAATATCAAAATCCTTCTCACATATCCCCAAATGGTCTAATGAGGCCGCACGCCGACGGATCCTCGCTCTGAAGGACATTGTTGTGGCTTTGGTCACTTCTCCAGGTCTATGGACTTGATGTCCTCCCTCTCCACATCTCTATCACATGGGGGCGAGATACTGTATACTCGGGTCCAGGAAAGAGAATTGGGAGAGCTGATAATATTGTTTAATGTTTTATTTTTGGGGTGGACAGGAAGTGACACTAGATTTCTATCAGGATAAACAGGGATTGTCTTGTGCTCAAACAGAAAACTAATGCAGCCACCTCATCCAAAGACTGACAAGCAGCAATACATGTTTTTTATCCGGAGTGACCTGTTCCAGAGGACGTATTTGCTAACAAAGTAACATTCAGTGTTTCAGTTTAGTGATCGGTGAAGACCTCGGAGGTCCCGGTTCTGCTCAGCGTCTTCTTCTAATAGGTATTGTCTCTCCTTCAGGTTCTGGGCTTACAATCAGCCTGATAATTGGAAGGGTCATGGTCTCGGAGGAGGAGAAGACTGCGCACAGTTAAAGAATAGAGACAAGTGGAATGACGATCATTGTTCCCAGAGCTACAAGTACATCTGTGAGAAGAAAATATTCTGATATGAACATCGGAGGACACCTCATATCTCCATCTGCTCTTTCTCTCCATCATACTACAGCCATATACAACCTACTACTCCATAATAATGCTGCTGGTTATGCTGGGACTTGTAGTTCCTCTAGATAGAGTGTCCATACTCAGCCTTCAGGTTTATTAATGGAAGAAATAAAGAGATCTTCTACCTGTTATCAGCTGAGAATGTCAGTCTTGCCTTTTAGCTCCCCCAACCCTCCAGTGACCTTTTACATCCTCATTTCCCCTCCCCGTCTTTTATTTCCACCCCTCTCTTTCTCTTCCTCCTCCATCATACTACAGCCATATACAACCTACTACTCCATAATAATGCTGCTGGTTATGCTGGGACTTGTAGTTGCTCTACATAGAGTGTCCATACTCAGCCTTCAGGTTTATTAATGGAAGAAATAAAGAGATCTTCTACCCGTTATCAGCTATGAATGTCAGTCTTATCTTTCAGCTCCCCCAACCCTCCAGTGACCTTTTCCATCCTCATTTCCCCTCCCCCCTGTTATTGCCACATCTCATTCCCACCCCTGCCATACCCTCCATGCCCCTCCTCTCCTGAACCTCTAACTCATTATTAAATGACCACATACCCCACCCCGTCCTTATCACTTCTAACTACAGCTCTGGCTTCCACCACCCCAACAGTGGCCACCACTTGATCCCATAATCTCCTGATGCTGATTGCCGCGCACTATTCCTGGCCCAGAGTTCATCCCGGCTCCCCTCCCCGGACCAGCTTATGAAACGCCAAAACATACAACCGCTGCGCTCCTTATGGCTTCTCTGTACCACTATTCTACCTTTATACCAGGGAGGTAGGGAGGACCTCCAGCCCTCCAGCTGTGGTGAAACTATAAATCCCATGAGGCATTGCAAGATTCTCACAGCCACAGGCATGACTCCCAGAGACAGATGCATCATGGGATATGTGAGGGAGGAGAAGGAAGGAAGAGGGAGGGAGGAGGAGGAGGGAGGTGTAGGAGCTCTGAGAACTGGGATGTGTTATTTTTGTGCTCTTCATTGAATATGTCTCTGGAGACCACTGGGAATTGTTTCCTCACCAGACAGCAGGGGGTTAAACTCCTCCCACTTAATGATTTGTGATTGGAGGACTTTGCTCTCAGACACATGTGACAACCCATGAGGAACCGGGATGGCCAATTAGAATGCAGTAAAAAGAAGATTGATAGGGATCATAGAATGGGATGTTCTGAGCTTGGCTTGGTGACTACTAGACCAGCAATGATTTCTATCTCCTCCCCTCTGCATGGAACATTTTGCAAGCGATATATACCGTATACTATCAGTGCTGTCATGTATACACTGTGCACCGGTAGCATCAGAATGTTTCCTCTGATAAAATAAACAGTTTTGTATTTATGACAACAAGCCGGGATCTGTAATTAAGGAGATTCCCAACTTATCTTCACAAATCCACTAATAACTCGAGTTCTTTTATTTGCGCTGAAGACGAAATAAGAACAAAAATGTGCGAAAATATAAATATGTATTAACTAAAAATCAGTGCAAAATACTCATCAAAATGTAATCGGCGACAATAAGGAATATGGATCAAAATTTCAATAATATTGATCAGCAAAGATAAATAGAAAACCGCGGGATATACCGTATTTCGCGCTCCATAAGGCGCACCGGACCATAGGACGCAGGGAGGTTCTGTGACAGCTGAGACAGGTGGCGCTGTGATTACATTGTGATTGGACGGACGTTCTTCGTCTGCTCTAGGGGCTCTATGGTGAACTCCTATGCCGTGGTCACGGGTCCCCCAGAGGAGTGGGGGACCCCAAAAACCACGACACGATCGCCGCCGCTCGATTTGATACAAGTGATCTGATTAGATCACTTGTATTAAAGTACAAAACTCAGTAACTCCGGGAATGTAATTAGCGGCTTCTCATTAGCTCAGCAGAATGTGACAACAGAATGTGCAGATACAACACGTGACCTCTCCCAGCCAATCAGATATCCACAAGCTCAAATTTCTACAGCGCATGAACTGACTCGTCATACTCTGCACAGGACCGGCCATCAGCCCAGAATCTATTTCAGGTAAAAACAAACTTCCACAAAGTTATTTTATTTGATGTATTGTGGCGATTCGCTCCAAGTTGTAGTACTTTAAGGACGTAAACATGTTCCTTTTTAGGGCTTCCTGCCCACTTTTATTTAAAAGTTCACACAAGTTGTCTCTCGCAGGGTTTCTCCAACATAACACAACTTCAGCTCGGAACCCTGAACATGAGCCAGCATTCTCTTCATGAGGGCGGAGCACGGGTGCACAATCTTTCGGTGCCGGTCACCACTAAAGCCCGGACATAGGAATGGAGATTTCATCCCTCCCAATGCTCTTTGAAACCTCCCGGTTCTCAGTGTATATAATAATCCGGCCACTCAGTGTAAATGTGCAATAAACCTTCTCTACTCTATAATCACTGGGTCTGTCCCCATCTATCAGTAACCTCCTAGACCTGCTATCCTCAGGCCAGTCTTATCCAATGATTTGCATGTCCCATGTTGGTTGACAGACCACTTAAGGGTAAGATTATATTATTCGGATCTCCAGGAGTAAATTACCCAATTCTTTCTACACTACTCACTTCCCCTGCCGAGCTGTACATTGGATGATGTCATCAGTCAGCGCCCGGCAAAGGAAGTGATTGGTGTAACTTGCTCTGCCCTGGCTCCTTGTTTACACGTGTGACGGATGGGTGTCAGGTAACCAGGGGTGTCACCTCTCCTCGGGACCGCCGGGTCTGGTGTAGGGCACAGGGGCTCCTTCGGCCTGGCAGAACTCCTGGCGCCGGGGGTGCGGGTGTGCATGTGCGAGATGCACGCCGAGCGTGCACACGTGGTAGACAGGCTGCGCGCGTAGAGCGTCTGCGCCCATTAAGGCCGTCAGGGCCGTCATTCCACCTCTATGGTGTGATCACCTAGCCCTTTTGTTTGTTCCCGCTGCCGTTTCCCTAATTCGAGCTTCCTGGTAACCGACCCCTTGGCCTGTCTACCGCTTCTGAACCTTCGCTGCCTGCCTTGACCCGGGACTGGACTTGACTGCCTCTTTGGATTTGCCCTCTTGTACCTCGCTTTTATATTTTTATGGTCCGCATCCTGCCAGTGGGTTCCTACCCCCGCTGCGAGTCCGCGGTACCGTCTGACAATGGTCTGTGTGACACAGCGGGTCCCTGCTGACTAGAGGTTCAAAAGGGGCACGGTTTACCAAAAGAGACAAACTCCGCCACTGTCCCTGAGTAAAACAGCGTCCCCATCAAGTGGCGCCCCGGGCATGTGCCTTGGCTGCCATACCATAGATACGCTACTGTCAGAACTATTTGGGGCTAAAAGGAATGAAGCTATAAGACTGATACATATTATTCTACCCATTGTAACACGGGCGTCCTGGAAGCCATCTTTGTTCTGTCTATTCTATCAGTTGCGGCAGTGTAAGCCAATGCCACGGTGGAGAATGGCGACTTTGGCACCCAGGACTCTCAGCCAAAGGGCCTGAGAGGGTCCAGAATGTGAACCATGTAATAAGGAAGAGTGCACTGCTGAGAGAGCAGAGTGAGCGTCTTGAAGCTGTGGAAAGCCACCGCGCGAAGATAAAGGACTGTCTGATGTTGCTGCTGCAGGCTATTTTTGTGTTTGCCCTTTAATAAACTGCATTTGACTTGACTTACCCGGACTACAGTGGAGTGTCCTCGTTACACAGTGTATGAGGTGAGTGTGAGTTCGTGGTTTCTGGACTAAGACTCTAACATCAGCGATGATTCTCAGACCCTCACAGCACACGTTCCCAGGTTGTACATTGTGGGGGTATCAGACAACAACGATGAGATAAGGACTGGCCATGGGACCAGACTGTGTTAGAACGAGATTGATGGAACTGCCGCGTCTCAAACTTAAAGACAAAAGAGACGACTAAGTTTTTGTTTTCTCTCTTTTCTCATTACTGGAAAAAGAGCTCGTTATAAAAGTGACCTTATATATACAATGTTATTATATGAAATTAATTGTATTGTTAGTATTGCATGAAGCATCTACATACTTAATTAATTGAGTATGTTATATATATAGATTCTTACAACATTCAACCTTTTATTCCTTATATATTATTTGGTTGTACTCAATGAAACATATTAGTGTATATTATTAATAAGGAGGGGGTTTTTTATTTTAAAGTACAAATAACTATGTTGGGTATATTGTTATTTTGTATCAGTGAAGGAATGTGAGTGGCCGCTGTGTGTGTCTTAGTACAAGTGACTTCATTCTCTATCTTTGTGGAAGAAAATTGTATTGTTGTTGTTCAGACTTTCTCAAGCTATATATCT